AAAGGACTCCCTGGGATACCCCAGGAGTGTCTCCTGCCCACCAGCTCCCCAAATACCCCTGGGGGGACCCCCCAAACCCACAGGTACCACAACAGCTCTCACCGTCAGGTTCTCAAACTTCCGAAACAGGTTCTTGAATTTCCCTGGGAGCTTCTGGAAGACAAAAAAAAAAAAAAGGGCCATGAGCATCCAGAGAGGGTCTGGGAGCACTTGGGGGTGTCTGGGAGGACCTGGAGGGTGTCCAGGAGCATTTGGAGGAGTCTGGGAGGACCTGGGGATGCCTGGGAGCACCCAAAGGGGTCAGGAGGCACTTGGGGGTGAGTCCAGGAGCACCCAGCAAGGATCTAGGAATATCCAGGGGAGAGCATAAACATCCAAAGGGGCTTGAGAGCACCCAAAGGTGTCAGGGAGCATCCCGGGGAGGTCTGTGGGGGAAGGGTCTGGGAGCAGCCACGGGGGCTGGGAAGGCCCCAGGAAGGTCTGAGAGCATCCAGGGAGGATGTGGGAGCACCCAGAGTCGTCCTGGGACCACTGAGTGGGGTGTGTAGAAGCTCCTGGAGGGTTCCAGGAGCATCCAGGGGGGTCCAGGAGCACCCAGGGGAGGACACGAGCATCCAGAGCATCCTGAGAGCATCCAGGAAGGGTTCTGGGAGCTCCCAGAGGAGTCCTGGGAGCGTTGCAAAGGGGTGTGTGGGAGTTCCTGGGGGGTTCTGGAAGCACCCAGGAGGTCCAGAAGCATCCACAGGGTCCTGGGACCACCGTGGGGGGTGTCAGAGCCCCCCGAGTCCCCCTTACCTCCCAGGTGAGGCGCAGGCGGCTGATGGCAGCGTTGTTGAGGCCGATGACGATGGCATAGAATGAGAGCATGTCCTGGTTCTGCTTACAGCTGCAGGGGGCAGAGGGTCAGGGCTGGGCTGAGGACCCTCAGGGACCCCCCCAGAACCCTCCCCTCAGCCCCCCACTCACATGGCAGCGATCTTGATGAGTTTCTTGAGCAGGTGAGCTCTCTTGCCCAGCGCCTCGCAGAGCAGCAGCTCCGTGCCCACCCAGTGCTGCACCTCACTGCAGCGCTGCAGCAGCAGCTCCAGGTTGGCTGTCTCCCTCCGGCCTCTCTCCCCGTGGAACACGTAATCCACGAACTCCAGCTGCAGGGGCAAACGCACGTGGCACCACAGGCCCCCTGGCCACACTGCAGGCACGC